TTTGTTTATGTGTTTATTTTATTTGTTTAGGAAGTGAGATATTTCAGTCAAAAGAATGGGATTAAGTTAGGTGACCTGAAATCTAACTCAACAAAAAGATTATACATTCTCGTTATTATTGTGAATAAAATTTGAAATTTCTCATTTACATATGCCTGATACAACACTAATTAGTAACAAAATCATAAATCATGTACTAAAATTAATCACTTATCCATTTGAGATTGGCATAATTTTCACTAATTGTGAACTCATACTTTTGCTTTTGTATAAAAGGTTTTTCTAACCAAAATAGTCCATGAAATTGACATAACTCTTACTTTGGTCCCTGACGATGTAAATCGATAAAAGTGATTGAGTTGTCAGTCGTAAATTATTTTGGTCATTCTGTGAAAAACTTGTCAATGTTCTTGTTAAGTAGAGAGGTTACAACAACAACAACAACAAAGCATTTTCCTATTAAGTGGGTTGGCTATATGAATCCTATAACGTCATTGCGCTCAGTTCTGTGTCATGTCTTTCGTTAGATCCAAATACTCTAAGTCTTTTCTTAGAGTCTCTTCCAAAGTCTTTCTAGGTCTTCCTCTACTCCTTTGGCCATGAAACTCTATCCCGTAATCACATCTTCTAACCAGAACGTCAGTAGGCCTTAAGTAGAGAGGTTAGTTTGACAAAAATACTCTTGGAAATGTAATCACGTGGTCGTTCACATGATAATTTAACAAGGACATTGGCAGATTTTTTATGAAATGACTATGATTTACTGTGTACAAACTTAGAAACCACGTCTATTGATATTTCTTGTCAAAAACCAAAGTAAGTAGTTATGTTAATCTTAGTGAGAATTTTTAGATGATAAAAATCCCAGTAACAAAATTGACCCATAAGACTAAACAAAAAGTTGAACAAGATATAACGAGAAAATTTTTAAATATACTACAAAAGTTGTAGAAAGATCCAAAAATAAACTTTTTAAATATATTAACAAATCTGTTCTAGAAAGGCACAAATAAACAGACTTCTTGATAGTATTATGTTGGTAACGTAAGGTTTGATTATTTATAGTACAAAGGAGGATCCTCTTCTCTTCCAATTGCACTTGCAGAATTACTAAATCAAAATACGTAAGTGATAATATTGATAGAGATTAAAATACGTAAGTAACAATATTGATAGAGATTTGTTATTGACATTTCAAAACGCTGAACATTTATATTTAAAAGAAAAAAAAATACATTTATAAGAAGTGCACAATGAAAGTTTTAGGATGCCAATAATAATTTTCTATTAATATCTAATAGAAAAAAATCTCCACCGCCTCATTAGCTTCTCAGAACACATGCATAATTGTGTACGGTAAAATTTACATCATAAGATAAGGAAAAAAAAAAAAAAAAAAAAAAAAAAAGCCCTCCCCGACAGACTTGTTACTATATTAAATTATAAATACATTGCTTGCCGTTGGATATCAGGAGTCATGAACCTAGGCAGAAGCTTCCCTTTTTCCTTGTGGCCCAAAAATAAGTGTTTTTGTCCGATGAAGACATACGACTTGAAATTAAGGTGTCCCCATGGTAATGTCCTTTAGCACCACATACTTTCATATTAGTCATTCTCATTTGTCAATGTTAGGAGTTATCAAAACTTGTATGATAATCCTTTCTTTAAATGATTATGAGATAATTATCATTAGTGTTTTGTTTTGTATTTTATTCTAAATTATAAATTGCGGGAAGAGATGTAAATCTTTTATAATATGCACATTAAAAGTACTAATCTTGAGAAGCCATTGAATCAAAGCACAAGGAATCACGAAATGAACCAACAAGTAAAGATCTATCGCTCTCTCTCTATATGCCTTATGCACTCCTATATGGGGTAGTTTTTTATTGGTACACAAGCAATGTTTTATACTAAATTATTTTAAAAGCAGGGAGAGAAACTCAAACTTTAATCTAAAAGAGCACACTGTTCTAGTCAACTTCACAAAACTAGAAATCTGTATAATTATCTCTTGTTGGTAATATAATATGATTCATATACTATAAATATTAAATTAAAGAGTATACTATCTTTATCAAATTTTCTCTTTTTTTATTGATGAAAATCAATTGTCATCTTTAACAAAGAGTATAATATCTTTATCAAATGTTTCTTTTGGGACTAAAAGGGTGCGTTTGGTACGCAGATGGAACGGAACGGAACGGGAAGGGACGGGACGGAACGGGACGGGACGGGACGGAACGGGACGGAACGAAGGTGTAATTTTTGAAAAAGACATGGGGTATATTTGTCTTAAAATGGTAAAACATTGCGTTCCACAAACGTGGAACAAACCCGTTCCAGGGGGGGAGGTGGAACGCAAAAACACTCAAAATCTGTCCCGTGGAACAGCCCGTTCCACCCATTTTTGGCGCACCAAACGCGGGACGGAACGCCTCGTCCCGTTCCGTCCCGTCCCGTCCCACGTACCAAACGCACCCAAAGGTCACGCGTTTGGACCGAAATAGTTTCTTTGTAAAAAAAATGATAAAGCTGTGTATATACAACAAATATCACTTTTTTTCTAAAAAAAAGGATAAAGCTGCGTATATACAATAAACATCTCTTACCTCCTCCAACCCTCACAAAGGAAAAAATCTTGTTAACTTGGGTTCATCCTTTAAAATCAATTGTCATCTTCTTTAATAAGGATTAGAAGCAAACCATTTTCCACATCATGTGCTAAATAATTACTCAAAGACAAACCTATAAAGAAACCAAAGTCTCAACCCACCACATTTCCACAAGCCGGCCCCATTCTCTTCGGCCAATCCATTGCAGCGACGTCTTAAATATCATCCTCCACGAAACCAATATGTAATTCAAGTCATGGGAGGCTGCGCACGTGGGTTTTATCCAAGACTTTCTGAGTTGCTTTGTTACATTGAATCTCAGTCTCAATCAATCAAACCCTTATTCATATATAGTATAAAGCTTATGCACAAAGGGTTTATATTTAGACTATACCATAAACTAATATACGTGCTTTCTGATACGTGAGCGAATTCGTAACATCATGCGTCACTAGACGTTTAATATCTGTAAGCATGCGGGCCATGTATGTGTGTGTATATATGTATATATATCTCGTAAGGAATCTTCGATACTTTGCATTTTTCCAATTTCCTTTTCATCAATCAAACTCTTCCCTTTTTCCTCCATCCTCTTCTTCCTAGAACCTCGCCCGCGAGACCCCAAAACCAAAAGTCTTTGTCCGTACATTATATATAAGTAACCCTAGGGCAAAACTAGGTCATCACAATTCACGCTCACTTTTTGTACACATTTTTCTGAACTCGACGGTTGAAACTGTTTGAAATATAACTTCTGGAAATCCGTCGAGGATCTTATCTTCTCTGTAATTCGTTTTAAGTTACAAAAGGCGATGGACGTGCTAGGTGTGAACGTGAAGAGCCCGAAGCAAAGCAAGAGAAGCAGATCAAAGGGTGGTGTCAAAGTTGTCTACATATCAAGCCCTATGAAAGTTAACACCAGTGCCTCTGAGTTTAGGGCACTTGTCCAGGAGCTCACCGGAAGACACTCCGATGCGGAGCGTTTTATGGAAACAAATAACAGTGGCCAGCATCATCAACAAAATGTTCATGAGGATTCTCGTGAGCAGAAGTTGAAGGTTGTGGATGATTACGTGCTGCTGCCTCAGCTTCCTTTCCCGAATTCCTTTTATGAGTTTCCGAATTGCGCTTCGGATTCTTTGTTTGAACCATTTTCTGGGCAGTTTGAGCTGGATGTGCTCAGAAGCTATGATCAAATAAATTTTATAGTTACTAATAGATCTCTCTGTAATTATCTTTTCTTTTCTTTTTTTTATCGATTAATGCTATAGTAATATATAAGGGGCTTCTTCCACGAATTCAGTGCAGTTTTCAGTTTTCAATATAAACTTGAGTGAGAAGTGTTAATGTTAGTTGCACATTAGGCGTGTGCTGATCGTCTTTTTTGATCAATGTTGAGTCTGCATTAGATTAATGATCAGAATTATCTCATGCATGTGTGGGCGACTGACTATAATATTTACCTTAGTTTTGATTTGGCCATGGGAGAAATGACTGTACCTTTTTGGACAAAAGAAAGAAAAACAATGTACCAATTTGAATAAGATACGCTAGTCTCTTGCCCCACAAGGTGTTTTCAAATTAAATTGTAGGCAATGTTTCAAGCTCTTTGAAGGAAGTGTACATAATCGATTGGGTCTATCACAATCGTCCTCTTATATCGAATATGCCACTATGGTGATATTGCAAACTGACAATAATGTACTATTTTAAGATACGTCACAATAGCGTACCTAATATAGTCATATCCTCAAGAGGATGGTTGTGATAGACTCGATCATTTGCATCTATGTTTGTTACAACAAAGATTGGTTAAATGTTTACACTTCTTTTCAAGCCTAAAACATTGCCGGTGACCATACCATTCAAGTACGTGGTCGGATTTGTAGGGCTGCCGAATAAAAAGTTGCCACATTGTCACAATTGGGGCTGGATTAACCAAAAGGCAAGGTGTGTGTGTTTGTGAGGGAGAGAGGGGTCAGAGAAAAGGCCTGTTGCCCTACTCAAGTTTTCCCTCGCAATTAGTGCAGTTGGATTTAAATTTTGACATTGGAAGAGTGTTCCCTTCGAAATATGTCTGAACAATGCAGGTACATGTACATCCATGACTTGAGCACTCTGTATCTACGAGGACAATTATCTGAGTCTAACATCTTGTTTGAAAGAGTTTTTAAAATGACTTAAAATACTTTTGAAAGAAGTACGTTTTTGGAAGAAGCACCAGATATGTGATTCTTGTAGAATGCACGTCAAATGCTTTTCAGAATCCACTTGGATTTTTCTTAATGATTGGTTTCACAAACATTTATCAAAAATGATTTCAGTCATTTTAAAAACACTTACAAACGAACCCTAAGATGATTTAAGAATACGGCTCATCTCTAGTTCATTACTTTAAATTCAATAAGCTTGGAAACCAATATGCAAATATACGTACACATGTCTTCTTCATATATGTATTAGGATACCAGTATATACAAGCCAGGTCGAACAGGGTCGTCCAAGCATCCAACAAACTACCTAAAACAAAACAAAACAAAACAGCCTATGTTGGAGTTCAGTTCCTATGCTGCTCACCGACATTTCACAAATCATAAGGAGTCGTTCATCCTTCAATCATGATGTAAAATCATTCTATTGTACAAAACTTTATAATCCGAGCTGTTTTTTCCGTCATCATCTAAAGATCATCATTAAAGGAGTTCATTAAATTTGGAGACGGTTTAATCATCCATATGTTTCTCAGGTTGCAATTGCACCAACTGAACAGCTCAAACCTGGTCGTGTAAATGGCCAAAGAAGAAAAATAAAGAGTGGAAATGAACGCCAGTATATCTCTCCCTTCAGGCCGAATGCAGAAACCTTCTGTCCAAGCGCTCTGTGCCTACAAGATCAACATGTAGTAAATATAAATTCTAATATGCATCAAATTTAGCAGAAGCTATAAAAAAAACTCCAGATGATGGCATCAACGTCGATGATCAGCTTCAGTTTCAGTCAGTACATACTTGATTTCCTTGTGCAATGCAACAGTCTGAAGAGTTGCGATGTTGTTCCCTTCCCTTGATTATGCAATAGAAATCATTTCCGGACACATTGAGTACTTATGGTAGAACGGGCACTGTCATTGGTATCAGACCACAGCACATAGAAATTGGTTCACTTAACTACGCAGATGGCAATTGCCAAATGAACCTGCACTATAACTCTAATGAATCTGCAGTACAGATTTTGTGAAAGCTTCATTTTCATTTTTAAATAACACAAGCATTACGGAAATCGCACCCTCAATCCTTAATTCCTTATGGTCTGACGATTCACAAATAAGCTTAACACAAGCAAATCACAATGATACAGTGAAGGAATACAGGGCATGCCATCGTATTTATATCTCTAGTATTTGACTACATGCAAAATGTAAAAGCTACTGGTACAAGTCAGAGTTAGGTTTGTTGATCCCTGGGGAATCCAATCACCAAGCAAAAGCACTACATATATTTAGGGAGTGAAAGCCATTGACATCTAATAACCTGGAAAATGCACAAGGTATGAACCCCGATAAACAGGGTATGTTGCACATTTCTACAAAACAATATTCAAGGAAAATTAAATTCAGGAGCCACAAACAGCAAGAGAGTTTTATGACACCACAAAGAGGATGCCAACTCAAGCAGGTCTTTCATATAAAAGCACATATTTGTATAACCCAAAGCAGTTAGGCTATGGAGTAGAAGAATGAAGAAATTTTGAGCAACATGTTGGACAAATGAAACTTTCTAAGGACACATTTTCTGACTTACAATCATACAGGGGCTAAAACTAACAGGGGTGATGTCGCTTCAACATATCAAAATCATAGAAGCTGGACTTCAACTTCTTTTGACCTACGAACATCATACATCCTGGAGTTCAACTTCTTTTGACCTACGAACATCATACATCCTTGAGTTCAACTTTTCCTTGATACACACTCAATAACTGAGGTACTTCATCTATATATCTGGCCACAAACCTCTCCAAGAAGCCTTTCTCCGCAGGGCTCAACAGAGAACACAAACTAACATTTTCGACATCCTTTAGCAATCCTTTCGCCAACAAAACTTTAACAACCGAACACCTAGGGATAATTCTCTTTTCCAAACTGTAACAAAGGACTATTGGGTATTTGGCAATTGTAGTTGACGACCATCCCATCTTGTTCACTAAAAAATCCATTACTTGCATTATTTTCTCCTCCGACGTAATCATACACTGCGGGTTCTTCCTGAAAGCAGTGAGAGCGTCATCCTCTGACCAACCCCAATTCTTATAAACTTCTTGATTTCGATTGCATCTAACCTTACTCTTACCACACAATGCACGCATTGCCATCAGAAAAGTTACTTTTCCCAGGTCAAAACCCATTTTCTTAACCTCGTCCACAACTTGACAAAACTCTTTAGGCTTTAGCATTAAAGTGCATGGATAATAAGCTATCAACCGAGAAATGCAGAATTGGGACATACCTAATTCTCTCAAAATCCGAATTTTCGGCTCCACCTTCTTGGAGTGGCCTTCCACAAAGATCCACGAGCCGTGCTTCAACACAGATGCGACATTTTTCTCAGAAAGCAAACTCCTAAGGAAATTATAAGTGGGTAAAATCCGATTTTCCAAGCTTGTGGTCAAAAGCTGCGGCATGTATGACAGAGTTATTGCAAGATCCTGCCTTGAAACTCCAATAGACCTGAAAAACTCAAGCTTCGGCAAAAGGGTTTCCTCAGGATCCAATTGAAGAACTTCTGAGCGATTCCTAACGATGTTTGTAATCTGGGTTTCAGAGAGTCCATGGTTTCTGAGAATGGCCAGAACGGCGTCTGCTCTTTCCGGCGATCGTAGCTTCACTCTCTTGGATGCTGAAATTGCATTTTTTGGTGACACCCCACATGAGTTTATGAGGTAATTAACTGAGAATTTGGGTTGGATTTCTGAGGTGAAATGTCTGCAGAGTAGCAGATTTTGAAGAGGAAAAAGTGAGGGTTGGGGATCTCCAGAGACAAACCGTTGAGTTGTGGAAGCAACTATACAAGAAGACTGCGAATAACCAAATCTCAGGGACTTCAATTTGTAGAGTGCAGCCATTTGGGGTGCCGATGATTGATCAATTTCAATTGGAAAAAGCCCCAAAACCCTAGCGGGTGGAACTACGGCTGGATAAATTATAAAAGTGGGTAAATTACATTTTCATACTTAAGGTTTGGGGCCTATTTCAATTCCTTACAATATCTTCAGAACATTTCACTTTCATACCTTAAGTATTATTTTATTTCAAAATAATACATCAATTACATTTTCCATCCATGGATCTGTTAAGTGCTGACGTAGCTACTAAATATATGTCACGTGGCTGCCAAATGTGCGTCACATGACAAAAATAGTTATTTTTAAATATTTTTTAAAAAACCTGAATTTTCAAAATATAAAAAAAAAAAACCCATCGCCGACCCACCCTCTTCTCCCATCCCCCATCACCCCTCCCAAAAATCCCCTATCACCCACCCTCAAAAATCCCACTCAAGATTAGGTGGATCTACCACAAAACCAGTTCAAAAATCATCTCAAACTCAAAAATCCCAAGATGAATTTACCACAAAACCACCCGAGATTAGGTGTGATTTTGGGTCTCTATGCAAGGGAGGTGGGTCGCGGGGTGGGGAGGTGGGGAGGGATAATGGGTTTTTTTTTTTTGTTGAGAAAATTCGAGTTTTTTTAAAAAAAAATTGCCACGTGGCACACATTTGGTAGCCACGTTAGCACTTAACGGATTCATGGATGGAAAATGTAACGGATGTATTATTTTGAAATAAAATAGTACTTAAGGTATGAAAGTGTAATTTACCCATTATAGAAAAACTGAAACTGACCCTTTCCACTCCCAAATATATTATAAAGATTTCCTTAATACTCATGTAAAATATTTCGAGAAGATAAAAAATTTGTATTGTTTATAAAAAACGTAGATTAACACTCATGGTTTTCAGACAGTTTTGCAAATTCATACATTTATTACCATTCAATCTATTTATTTTCAGCTTTGCTTCACAGTGAAGTTTTGAAAATTAAGGTAAGACTTTCCTTTGAGATTCTTCTGTGAAACCCCATTTGACAATGTTTTGGGCCTCCCTACTATATTTCTTACTAATTTGTTAGTTTTCCAATTAAATATTCTACTAAATATACATTTGTAGCTCAATAATTTGAATTTTTGCGAAAATAAAAAGTTATCCATGTTTTAAATCTCACTAATGCTCAGGAAAATATTTTGTAAATTTTTTTTTTTTATTTTGTCAAAAAACATGGGTATTAGGCAAACTCGACGCACGCAAAACAAGGCAAACTCAACTCATGTAGAACGAGGCAAACCATAACACTCAAAACAAGGAGGCTTCGCTCACAGAAAACGACTGACATGCAACACGAGGCGAGATACTTCGCATAAATCAAGGCTAGCTTGCACCCAGAAAACTAGGCTGACCCTGTACACTCCAAAACGATGTAGGTTCCATGGATGTAAAAAATGGCGAGCTTCTGGCACGTAAAACAATGCGAACACCTTACATGGAGAAGAAGGTGAACCCAAGCACACAAGATGAGGTGCTCTTTGTGTAACGACTCATCCCAATTATTACGAATTTTATAATTTTAAAATGTGAAATTATGAAAATGCCCTTCGAGGCAAATACGTTGACTTTTGTTGACCGCCTTGTCGTGTCACGCAAATGGAATGTAATTTGGAGTTATAACAAAGAAATTATAAACGAACAAAATTGATGGCATAATGGTCATTTGACCATAAATCTAGACGGCTCCAAATTTTGTTGGAGCATCTATCTGGTGCCACGTGTGTGGCTGAGATGGAAATAATAGGAGAGCAAGGTGGGAGGAAGCGGCCCAATCGGGGAAAAGATGAGGATAATGAACCAATGGGAGAGGAAAGAAATGAGGGAAATGAGGGTAGGGAGGAATCAGGCAACCCGGACCTCCCTTCAACCCTAGTGACCCAACTCGACAGAATTCATGGTTCCTGATGCTTTCTCTGACCAAATTCCGACAAATTAAGCCGTGACACCACCTAGAACCAACTCCACAACCTTCCCTCTACCTATTACACCCCAATATTAAATATATTTGGCCTTGATTCTGTGAAACCCGCACAGTGGGTGCAATGGGTTCAAGGGCGGCGATCTGTCGTTTTTGAATGTGTTGTGGTTGACCACCACCTTGGTTCAACTCATCTTGAGGCCAGGAACAAACCTCGAAACCATTTTGGGGGCGGCGAAGCGATGGAATAAACGAATTGAAGCTCACCCTGGGTTTTCCGATGAATTGAGGGTGATTTGAGATGTTTCCCGGCCGAATTGGACTTTGGCCAAGGTATGAAAGTTATTCCTCTCATTGAGATTTTTATTCTTGTAAATTTTGGGAATTTTTTGAGTTGTTGAATTTTCCAACGAGTTTGGACTGTTGGACGCCACATGCGGCGGCGTGTGGGGGGAAACCCAAGGTCCCTCCTTAGGTTTTTCGATGTGCCGAATCCGAATCCGCCGTCCGTTTTCCCAAATTCTAACATTTTTGTAGAGTTTTACTAAATGGTCCCTAATTGCGTTTAGGTGCATCGGTTAGAAGGTGACACCATCCTTCCTTGTTCGAGCAGCTCTCGGGTAACAAAATATTTGTGAGTGGACCGCTTCTAAACTTGCATGTTTTTTTTTTATAAAATATTAGGCTTGCATTCACGAAAAGCATGATTTTACGCTTTATGCATTATTCATGATTTATTCAAAGAACCTTTATGAAATATTTATGATTTATTGAATTTATGTTTTATGAAAGGTTATGACTCATTAGATTTTCGTATATGAAATGCTATGGATTACAAATATGATATTCTACGGATTTTTTAATCTATGAATTATCATGGATTTATGAAATGAGCTTTTGAGCTCTGGATTTAATATGAGATTTGAGTTATGTTTTTTGTACTTACCTACTGGGTTATCATACGGCATATACACACAACACGGGTATGACGTCTATGGCCATAAGACATAGTGGATGAGTAGTGAGATATATATACCTCCAGCTTCACCGTCGAAAGTGGTGTCAGACAGCTTCACTAGCCACGGCTAGTGTCAGTGTGTATGTATGCTATTTTATTCAGCTTCACCTTCGAGTGATGGACAAGTACTACCTTCGGGCGACTATGATATCCCTAGTTGAGTACCTCACTGAGGTTATTAACATATGTTTTATGGATTTGCCTTCGGGCATCTGTATTCATTTCTGAGCACAGTTTTCTACATACTGATTTTAAAAACGTTTTCATGGCATCTAGAGTTTTCAGAAAAACTTATTATGTAGTATTACATATGTTTTCAAAACAGGAGGTTAGTATGTTCATAAATAAAATGGTTTTCTTATTATTAGTATTATTATTATAAACTTTGGTCCACTCACCTTTTTTGTTTTTGTGCCCCCTCAAGAGTTAGAATCGAGGAACACGATCCCGGCGTCAAGACATATCCGCTCAGACATCTTTGAGTCTCCTTTGTGTAGGACACATTCCTCGGTTCGTGCATTTCTATGATAATTCTTTTACTTTATTCTTGGCTAGTTGTATGCTCTGAACACATTCCTACACTGGTATTTCTCTTTCTAATTACATATCTTATATGTGCGCATGTTTTTAATGGCTTCATCACCCTTGGGTGTCGGCTAGCATGTGCCTACCATGATATTTGGGGATATCGGGATTAGGGCGTGTCAGTTTGGTATCAGAGCATACTTAGGATCTTCTCCTACTTTAGTAGTGTGTCGGCCTTGATATCATTTGGATGTCACAGCTTATGTTTGTTGACGTCTTTCGGCATAATAGTGCAATCCTCATTCTGCCTGAATAGTCACACCTTATTGAAGAATAAGAAATTCATATTGGCATTGTGCCTCAAGTTTGATGTAATAGGTTATGAATGACTTTGAACATCGGACCGCTACTCTGCGACATGCATTCCCTAAGAATGGCGAGCAGAGTCGGTTTTGCTTAAAGTGACGTGAATTTGAGGAAACTTAGTGGAAGGATGTCTAGTTTGACCAGTTGAGGATCGAATGCGACAATGGTCATCTGCGACATGCGTGAAAGACTATTTAACAAAACAAAATTTACTATTTTTTGTTTAAGCCTCACCTAAAAGTGATTTTAACATGTCTAATTTGAAAAGAAATTAAAAAATATACACTAAATATACATTTTAACATCTCTATAATTTTTCACTTTTTTTTTTTACTTTTTAGCTTAAATATTCTACTAAATATACACTTGTTACTCAATAAATCGTAAATCCACTTCCAAATACATTATAAAGGTTTCCTAAAAGCTCACGGAAAATATTTCGAGAATATAAAAAAAATTTGCAATTTTTTTACATAAAACATGGATTAACACTCACGGTTTTCTATTGGTTTTGCAAATTCGTACATAAACCACATTTCAATCTATTTATTTTCAACTTCGCCTCACTGTGAAGTTTTAAAAATTAAGGTGAGACTTTCCATTTAGATTCTTGTGTCGAACCCCATTTGACAATGTTCTAGGCCTCCCTACTATATTTCTCACTAATTTTTTAGTTTTCTGCTTAAATATTCTACTAAATATACATTTGTAACTCAATAAACCGTAAAACTGCTTCCAAATTCCTTAAAAAGTTTAATTTCATGCTCAGAAAAAATATTTTGCGAAAATAAAAAATTTGCATTTTTGTCAAAAAACATAGGTGTTAGGCGAGCTCGATAGATACAAAACAAGACGGACTCAGCTCATGTAGAACGAGGCGAACTGCGGCACACAAAATAACGGGCTCCACTCACAAAAAATGTTTGGCACACAAAACGACGCGAGCTTTGTGCACAGTAAACGAGGCAAGATACGTCACACAAATCAAGGCCAGCCCTGCACACGAAAAATGATATTGCCCTTGTGCATGCCAAAACGACACAGGCTCCGACCCCTCACATGCAGAATGAGGCAAATCCAGGCACACAAGACGAGGTGGGCTCATGCACGTAGAACGAGACGAACTCCCAGGTGCTCAAAAAACGAGACGACTCCACCCATGAAAAAAAATATGTTTTAAAGAACATGAATTGATAGTTTGTTGTAGTGGTAAGAGAAACAAAAGAACAATTAACAAAAATTTACAAAATTGATTCAAATTCTTGAGGTGGCAAAACATCACGCGTGACTTGGCTACCACAAAGTCACAAGTGACTTCTGGCACCCGCAAGAATTTCAATCATTTTTGCACATTTTTGTCAGTTTTTCTTTTATTTCTCTTATCACTACAAAAAACTATCATATTCATGGTCTTCAAAATATATTTATCCATGCAAAATCTATTATAGTTGTTATTTAAACACTTGTAATCAACGATTTAAAACCTAAATTTAAAGATATTTGATCCTTTTTTTTTATTTAAATCTAAACTGCATAATAATATAACCCTCGTTATATATACATCATTTATCTAGGTATTTTAAAATTGTATTATATGAGTCTATCACTTTATAATAATTGTTTTGAGAAATTAGTGTATTACCATATATTTGTTTGATGAATGATATGTATACAGGCTGAAAAGCATATCACGCGTCGATTATCTCACCTCAATATTCTCAATTTGCTCGACTACTGCAAGGAGGAAAGTTTTCTTTTCCTTGTTTACCCCTTTGTTCAGAACAGAGGTTTGAAATACTACTTAATACAATTTTAAAATACCTAGATAAGAACGTATATAATAAGATAATCATCCGTTTACACTACTTAACTTTGCTCCGTCACTTCTAGTACAAGAAAACCTAACATATAATTTCAAAAAAAAATAATAATAATAATAATCACAATGATTGGTCCAAACTAAGAGAAAACTATACCAAAAGACTAAGAGAATTTCAAATTTTAAGAAAAATTAAAAACAGATAATTCATTAATTGGTTTTTCGTTAAAATTATATTTTAAACAGTAACGAACCTACTAAGCGACCAGCGTCTCACAACATTGGGTTGTTTTGTGAATATTTTTTTATTGGGTCAATTTGGGTATCATGAAAGTTTATTTTTTTGCCTTTTTCCTTTATATATAGATAAGGAGTCCTTCATCCTTCAATCACGATTTAAAATCATTATTGTACAAAACTTTATAATCATTGCCTTTTTTTTATTTCACTAATCAATAAACATCATCTTCAAAAGAGTCATTGAATTTGGTGACAGTTTGATCATACATATGTCGTAAAATCCAAAATAACATCTTCATAATAGACCGTCAATTCGTGTTTTCATGACTACTTTATGTTCACATTTAATGAATTTTTCTGGAGAAAATCTAATTTACTGGATTTTTCCAAGGATAAATCTTTAGACAGTAATAAAGAGAATGAACATTTCCAGTTATAACGTTTATACAGTAAATGATGTCACAATGTCATTGAATGAAAAATGACCCTTACTGCGAAGAAACACAGACCTCTATCTAATACAACACAATATAACAAGAATAAACATATAAAGAAGCAATCCACGCATGGAATTTGAGCCTGATTTGAAAGGAATCTTTATACAATTGGTGATGCTTGAGGAATCATATGGAAAGGGATCCTCTCCGGATCCCTTCCACCAAATCCATCCCATCAATCAATCCGGACCTTTGAAATTTGATCCAATGGCTAAAAAACATGGACCCTTTAAAAGTTATAATAACTTTAACCGTTGGATCAAATTTCAAGGGCCCGGATTGATTGATGGGGTAGATTTGGTGGAAGGGATCCGGAGAGGATCCCTTTCCGAATCATATACCCGATGCTATGGAAGAGACTATACACGATAGTATCAAGATTGCCAACCACGAGTAAAGAAGCAATGAGAGAGGAGCGTTGAAGAACTAGAGAAGAAATCACTTCACAAGACAAAATGCATGAAGAGATGCAAGGAATGACCTTCCATAACTGCTATAAAAATTAAAAATTCAGTGAGACAATAGTATTTTGAATATAATGTTTGTAAAACTCACCTTCTTGTAGCTTGTCAACGTTTTGTGCATTTTATTCGCATTTTGATCGGACAAGTTTGGAGTCACAATCATAAGCCAGAAATAACTAACATCAGCAAAATCAAACTCAGAAACTTGTTTCTCGTGTTTGGGAGCGCTGGATGGAACACACACTAAGTTTTGTTTAAATGAAAATTAGAAGCAACACTAGAAGACTATCGTGCAAGGGTAGACTAAAGAACTCCTTGCTTCATAGTTTTTTGGAAACAGTACAATTGATCCCTGACCTCTCTTTTTGAAACAGCAAAGCTTCGGAGGATTTGTACATAGGTTCATCCACAAAGATAACAATTAGCAGCAGATCACCCTTCATTACACGTCGAATTAGGTTTCTTGATCCCTGAAGAACCAAATCACCAGCCAAAAGCACTACATGTATTTGGGGACTGACAGCCATTGACATTTTATAGCTTGAAAATGGACTAAACTGAACCCCGATCAACCCAATATGTTTGCATATTTCAACAAAACAAGAGATTTTCATGACACCACAGATAGCATGCCAACTCAAGCAGTTCCTTCATAAGAAAGCACATATAGATATAACCAGAAGAAGCTAGGCTATGGAGTAGAAGCAAGCTAAAATATTTAAGTGATGTCACCCGCTTTAACGTATGGAGATCAGACATCCCAGACATCCACTTTCCCTTGATAAACATTCAGCAACTGAGGTACTTCTTTAAGATATTTGGTTACAAAACTCTCCAAGAAGATTTTCTCTGCAGGGAACAAAAGAGAATACAAACTCATAGTTTTTTCGACTTCCTTTATCAGTCCTTTCAACAACAAAACCTTGACAACCGAACACCTCGGGACAATTCTCTTCTCCAAACTGAAAGAGATGACCCCTGGGTATTTGGCAATTGTTATTGACGACCATCCCATCTTGTTCACAAAAAAATCCATTGCTTTCATTATTTTCTTTTCCGAATGAATCATACAAAGTGGGTTCTTCCTGAAAGCAGAGAGAGCAACATCCTCAGACCAGCCCCACCTCCTATAAACTTCTCGATTTCGATTGCATTTCAACTTAGACCTACCACACAATGCACGTATTGCCTTCACAGAAGATGTTTTTTCCAGATTAAAACCCATTTTCATAACCTCATCTACAAGTTCACCAAGCTCTTCGGGCTTTAGCATAAAAGTGCATGGATAATGAGCTAGCAAATGACAAATGCAGGATTGGGGCATACCTGATTCTCTCAAAACCTCAATATTTGGCGCCACCTTCTTGGAGTGGCCTTCCACGAAAATCCACGAGCCCGCCTTGAAAACAGAAGCGACGTGTTTCGCAGAAAGCAGACTCCTGAGGAAATCGTAAGTGGGTACAATCCGATTTTCCAAGTTTGTGATCAAAAGCCGCGGATTATATGACAGAGTTGTTGCAAGGTCTTCCCTTGAAACTCCAATAGACCTGAAAAACTCAAGCTGTGGCAAAACGGTTTTCTCCAGATCGGCTTGAAGAAGTTCTGAGCGATGTTTGATGACGCTTGTGATTCGGGTCTGACAGATTCCATGGTTTCTCAAACAGGCCAAAACGGAGTCTGCTCTTTCTAGGGATCGCAGTTTGACCCTCTTGGATGCTGAAATTGCATCTTTTGGTGACAACCCACATGAGTTTATCAGGTAATTGACTGCGACATTGGGTTGGGTTTCTGAGATTTCTGAGGTGAAATGTCTGCAGAGTATCTGAACTTGAAGAGGAAAATGTGAGGGTTTTGGATCCCCAGAGAGAAATCGTTGAGTTATGGAAGCAACTATGCGGGAAGATTGCGAATAACCAAATCTGAGGGCCTTCAAGTTGTGGAGCGCAACCATGTTAGCTGCCGAAGGCCGGTGACAACCAATTTCAATCGGAAAACCCCAAATCCCCCAAACCCTAGCGAGTCTAACGTTCAGTGAGGGTGCGTTTGGTACGCAGACGGGACGGAACGGAACGGGACGGGACGGAACGGAACGAAATGGAGGTTCGTGTTATGTTTGGTATGCATAGGACGGAACGAAAAAAAATGACGAATCAGACCCCCAAACAATTTCTTTCTCTTCAAATCAAACACAGAAAAATCCCAAAATTGATTTCAATCGTCCTCCGTGCAGCATCCACCTTCTTCCCTCCGACCCACCAAACTGTTTCACTCTCTCTCTCCCCAACCTCCCTCTCCAAATCGGGCGACTTCATCCTAATCCCCGGCACCGCCCACCCTGCTCGCCACCTCAGATTAGGAATGACGAGCTTAGCTTCGAATCGGGTCGTGTTCCGGATCAGATCCACCTCACTTACACGGACGAAGATTACGAGATACGGGTCATGTTCGTGACGCCAGACGGTGCCGGAGAAGAAGAGGGTTTGCTATGGTGACGTCGTCGTCGTCGGATGGGTTTGCTGGGATTGGGTTAGCAGTTGGGTTACTGGGTTTGTGGTGGAGGAAGAGGAGGGCTACGGGAGAGACAAGGGTAGAAGAGAGGAGGTTACGGGAGAGAAAGGGAGGTAGACAATGTAATTAATGAAAAATAAGAGGGGTATTGTTGTCCAAAAAGTTATAAAGTTTGTGTCCCACGGGATGGAAAAACCTGTTCCAGGGGGGAGGGGGAACCAAAATCTAACCCATTTTCGTTCCGTGGGACGCGCGTTCCACATAATTTTAGCGCACCAAACGTGGGACGGAACGGTTCCGTCCCACTCTGTTCCGTCTCATCCCACGTACCAAACGCACCCTGAGGTTTGACGCGGGTGATATGATAGTTTGATTTTCAGGATGGAAATACAAAGAAAATTTATTTCTTTATTTTAATGATGACTTGAAATTACTTTAGGGTTCAAATACTATAATTAGAGTTACTCGTCATACTTATATTCAAGGTCTAAAATATCGATGATATCAGAAATAGTCCAAAAACACGAAAATTTCGATGAAAATATAGAGATATTATCGATATCGATAATAATCACGGAAATTGTAAGAAAAACTTGGAAATTTGAAACTTTGCATGATGTTTATTTAGTCAATTATCTATTAGTTTATCACAAAAAATTAGAAGGAAATGCATTGCATGATGGATTTAACTAATTTAAGTTGATTATATAGCGAGCTAACAAACATTGTGAGTGTAAAAAATATGTAGTAATTAATGAAAGAAATTTAAACACACCATAATCATTTATATATAATGAATTAATACAATATTTTACATTTTATACATTGCATGGTAAGATACATGAGTGACTTAGTACCACATAGAGTTCCTATCAAGGTCTAAAATATCGATGATATAGGAAATATCGGTAGTCCAAAAACACGAAAATTTCGATGGAAATATCGGGATAATATCGATATTTTAGACCTTACTTATATCTCTACAATTATTATTATTATTTTTAATTTCAAGATTGTTTTATACTTGCTGAATAAATTGACAGTTATGGTAAACATATGACGCTTTCTGCATATGAATGAATAAATTATTTTAAATTAAATAATTATATAAAAATGATCTTTTAGACGGTAATAGAGTGAAATCTATAACATTTGAAGAGAAATAATGTTACGTCGTCATTGAATTGAATAAGTAATGACTTCTTACATATAACAAGTCAAATAGTCTCATCCCTTTGTCAATCCATCTTTTTTTCCTTTGCTCGCAACAAAAGATCTTCATCTACATAAGCGGAAAACAAAATCTTTACAACAATAGCGAGTAATAGGGAAGGGACGGTCTGGATTAGATCGATTTTACCTCAAAACCACAACCAATCCAATTATAATATAATGATTTAGTTCGGTTCGGTTCAAATTTGACAAATATTCCTAAGAAAAACCAAACCAATGTTCAACGGTTTGTTTTGGGAGCTTTGGGCCTAAATTATATAACTATTAGCCCAATCCTATTAAAACAAATCACAATTTTCAACATATTTTTCATTTTCTAGTATATCAAATCCTCGTAAAATTTAACATCCCATCAAACTTCAAAGTTCAGTTACTAATATAGTTACAACTCGAGATCAATGACATCAAGAGTTCCATCAACCGTCAAATTCAACAACCTCATCTAGCTATTAACCAATAAGAGGACTACACTTTTATACGATGTTACTACAATATATCTGCAATATCGAGTTCAAATCTAATTTATCGTGATAGAACCAAGCATATAGAGTTGGATTATCATTGCATCAAAGGCCAGATTTCTCTGTTTGAAGTGCAGGCTGTCGATTCGGCCTCCTCCTGTCGACTTGAAAGGGGTGTAACGAGAATCGCATTCAAACTTTATATGATCTTACTAAGCAAAATCAATGAACTGTAGCAGCAATTAGCGTGTAACTCAGTGTATCTGATTAGAACCAACCTTAGAGAGGAGAGATTGGTACTTAACTAATGTCACTTGTTAGTATTGTATGGTACTTAACTGAGTGTATCTGCATGATAATTGTTACATGATCGCGACTTCTCGTTAGTAATATCATAGGTACCGTTCGCACGACAGATATCCAAGAAGGAAAATATGTAGTAAAAAACCAGGAAAACAGAGCATTACATCCTATTTACATAAGTATTCAACTACATGCAAAATGTAAATGCTACGGGTACAAGTACCCCAAATTCAGAAATAAAACAAGAAAAGGTGCACCCTGCAATTGAAATTCAAGGTGAAGAATCATGTCTTCCAAGTTCCAACGTCAGTGGCAAAAGTGTGCCTGTCTACAATGTGTGAATGTGTGACCGTGCGTGCGTGTGTGCAGTTCACAAAAAAGCAGCAGAAACTTGATCCACCCAGATTATAAGTAACAGGCTCAGTTCATATATAAGATGCATGTCATTGTTCATATATAAGGTACATATTTTAAAGTAAGAAACAGCGTAGATGTTTGTACCGGTAGGACGATGGCAGGGTGGCTTCTAGCGTAAGAAAGATGTCCAGATACCAATCATCATTTGCAAATTAATGAGTCCCAGATCTGTAACTGAAAACAAAGAGAGTTGTAGATTGATTTTTGCTGTTATATTTCACAAGTAGTTACATGCAGCTAAAAGATATAATATCTTAAGAAGAACAAACCGTCTATCCTCATTAACTTCAAACAATGATGGTAAGTTTGGTTCCGGGAAAAATGAAAGGAAACAGACAATTTATATTGCTGCTACCAATGACAATGAGCAGTACTAAATCTGCAACAAAGCATGAAAAATTGTTATAGTATCTAACCTCTTGATCTACAAACATCATACATCCTGGACTTCAACTTTTCCGATACATACTCAATATCTGTTGACTCGATGACCGTCTAACAGATTCTATCCTCATTGACTTCAAACAATGATGGTCAGTTTGGTTCCTGGGAAAATGAAAAGGAAACAGACAATTTCAGTTTATCAACATTTTCAAATCTGGTTTCTTTGCAATGCCTCAAACAATTTTACAACTAGCGTAAGCAGGGTGTCACGTTTGCACTAATGGGGGGAAGAAAAACATCAAGTTCTCTCTTTCATTTTTAACCAATTTTCTCAGCATGTATTTTGTTCCCCATATAAGGAATAAAGAAGGGAGAAGAACATGTGATCACCTACAAGAGTGGGTCGTCAAAAACATAAATAGATTTTCTTCTAATGAGGAAAGGGGATCGTATAACTTGTAAGGATTGCAAAGTTATACCGGGAGAGAGCTTGGCTAATCAACATCGCTTGTTTGTGATGGATGTACATATCAAAAGAGTGAGAAAAAAGAACAAGACTTGGAAATGCCCAAGGACTAGATGGTGGAATCTAAAATGAGAAAAAAAAACAATTTTCAAAGAGAAAGTAATCACCCAGTGCATGTGGGATAGAGAGGGGGAAGCTAGCCAAAGGTGGGATTCCATGGCTAGTTGTATCCGAAAAGTAGCAAAAGAGGTATTAGGAGAGTCCAAGGGCTTTGCTCCACACCAAAAAGAATCTTGGTGGTGGAATGATGAGGCACAAACAAAGGTGAAGGTTAAGAAGGAATGTTGTAAAACCTTATACAAGGATAGGACCGATGAAAATGGTGAAAGGTATAGAAGAGCGAAGCAAGAGGCGAAGAAAGCTGTGAGAGAAGCTAAGTTAGAGGCTTATGACGATATGTATAAGCGACTAGATACCAAAGAAGGAGAGTTGGATATCTATAAACTAGCTAGAGCAAGAGAAAAGAAGACAAGAGACCTAAACCAAGTGAGGTGCATCAAGGATGAGGATGGAAAGATTCTTGCTACAGAGAACGCGGTCAAAGACAGATGGAGAGGTTATTTTCATAATCTTTTCAATGAAGGACATGAAAGGAGTACTTCTTTAGGGGAGTTGAGTAACTCAGAAGAATGTAGAAACTACTCATTTTACCGTCGAATCAGGAAGGAAGAAGTGGTTGTAGCTTTGAAGAAGATGAAGCATGGAAAAGCAGTGGGCCCAGATGATATATCAATCAAAGTGTGAAAAATCTTGGGAGAGACAGGTATAGCATGGCTCACTGACCTTTTCAATAGGATTTTGAAAACGAAGAAGATGCCATATGAGTGGCGAAAGAGCACTTTGGTGCCTATCTACAAGAATAAGGGCGACGTACAAAATTGCATGAACTATAGGGGTATTAAGCTAATAAGTCATACAATGAAGCTCTAGGAGAGAGTCATTGAGCATAGATTGAGGCAAGAGACACGGGTTTCGGACAACCAATTCGGGTTCATGCCAAGGTGCTCAACTATGAAGGCAATCTATCTCTTACGGATTGATGGAAAGATATAGAGATGGGAAAAGGGATTTACACATGGTCTTTATAGATTTGGAAAAAGCGTATGATAGGGTCCCAAGAGACATTCTTTGGAGGATTTTAGAGAAGAAAGGAGTACGAGTAGCATCCAAGCTATAAAGGATATGTATGAAGGAGCAAAGACTGCCGTAAGAACTCATGAAGGACAAACCGAAAGCTTCCCCATAACTGTAGGATTACATCAAGGCTCATCCTTAAGTCCTTACCTTTTTGCGTTGGTAATGGATGAGTTAACAGGACATATTCAAGATGATATTCCTTGGTGTATGCTTTTCGCAGACGATATAGTGTTGATAAATGAAACTCAGGAAGGGGTAAATGCGAAGCTTAACCTTTAGAGAGAAGTGTTGGAATCTAAAGGTCTTCGCCTAAGCCGATCAAAGACAG